GGAGAGATAGCTCAGTTGAATAAGTGCATGCCTGGCAAGCATAAGGGCCTGAGTTCAATCCTCAGCTCCGGGGGAAAAAAAAAAAAAAAAAAAAAGTGTAATGGGCTATCATAAGAGATTCTTGGAAGACATGTCAGGTTCCTGGAACAAGGTAGGATATGCAGTCTTTAAGTAATCATGGTCAGGTGTGATGGCGCATGCCTGTAATCCCAGCACTTGGAAAGCTGAGGCAGGAGGATCGTTGCAAGTTCAAGACCACTCTGGGCTACAAAGTGAGCTCAAGGCCAACCTGAACTGCATAGTGAGACCATGTCTCTAAAAAACAAAAATACATAAATAAGAATTCTCACATATTATCCATTAGTTTAGTAAAGTCTATTCACATGTATTCCATATTAATGATAGGTCCCTGGGAAAATTCTAAAGCACAGTAATGGTACACAAAATAAATAATATATTATCTTATCAGGAAGCAACTATTAATCCCCGGTTCCAAAAAAAAAAAAAAAAAGGAAAGAAAGAAAGCAACTAACTATAAAATTTTGTTTTAATTTTGGAGCCTACAAATAAAACCCAGGGCCTCACACTTGCTAGGCATATTCTTTACCACTGAGCCACACCCCCAGCTGGAGGATTCTGTTAGGACTCTAGCTTGTGGAACAGGTGGAAGATAGAGGGTTTGAGTTCAAAGTGACTAAGGAGACAGTAGATTTGTCAGTCTTAGAACAAAGAGAGCAGACGGAGGCAGTATTATCTAGGCCCCTGGTCTACCAAGGTACCTACCTCAACTCTACCCATAGCTTACAGTTCATGCCTGTCAAGTACAGAGGTGACCAGTGAGTATGTTTACTCCTTTACCCACTGACACACCTTACTTTTGATATCTATTTGTAGCCAAATATAGTCAGAATATGGCCATATAAGGGACAACTAGGTTTAAGTTACTTTAACAAAAAATGGGTGTCACGTGACAAGAGTTGTAAGATAAAACTTACAGCCCCTTGGAAAGAATTAGCCTACATGATAATTTTTAAATCAAATTTATGATGTATTTTAACCAGGTAACTCCATCTGAAAAGATAGAGACTTATAGAGATTAAACATTTATACCTGATTGTTTTCAGAAATCTAAATTTTCTCAAGTACTGGGGAATGACTCCAAGGCTTTCATGTTGAACTATATCTCTAGCCCTTTATTTTTTTTTTTAAATTTGTGTGTGTGTGTGTGTGTGTGTGTGTGGCCAGCTCAGCCCACCAGGGGCGGGGCTGGCTGGCATGTGGTGCTGGGGGATTGAACCGCGGTCCCTGTGCTTTGCTAAGCTTGTTCTAAGTAGGTGCTTTAGACCACTGAGCCATCTCACCAGCCCTAGCCCTTTATTTTTTTGAGACAGAATCTTGCTACACTGCCCTGGCCAGGCTCAAACTTGAAAGCATCCTAGAGTGCTGGGATCACACACCCAGCCAGAATCTAATAATCTTCAGCTATCAATTTTTTTTCACTTACATGCTTCAATTATTAAGAATGGTGAAGTTTTTTTTCAGTACCTGGGATTGAACTCAGGACAGCAAGCGCTTATTCTACTGAGCTATCTCCCCAGCCCTGAAGTTTTTTAAAAAAGGATTTTAAATATCCATTATGGGGGCTTGTGGGTTAGCTTAGTTTAAGCGCTTGTTTAAGTGCTTGCTTCAGCAAACCCAGTCAGGATTAGGGGACTGCGGTTCAATCCCCAGACCCAGCCCTAAGGCAGCTTGAGCCAGTACCCTCCCCCACAAAAAAAAAATCCTTCTAGAGCTGGGGAGATAGCTCAATGGAATAAGTGCTTGCCTGGCAAATGCAAGGTCCAGAGTTTGACCCTGGTACCGTAAAAAAAATTAAATTAAATTAAAAAAATCCCTTAATGAATTCAAGAAGTTGCCATAAAAGCAGAAAATATAAAGTTATGAAGACATAGGTACAAAGAATTTTACAATTTTTCCCACTGTCCTCATTAGTACTAAATACAAATAACAAAAGGAAAGTCAAATATTATCTATTTTTTATATTAAGGAAAAGGGAATCATACAAATATGAATTATAATATGTGGGAGAGACAGTGTTAGATGATTGAGTTAAAAAGGTAGAAAATGAAGGGTACATTTAGATACTTTTTTTTTTTACATTTAACCACAGTCTTTTCAAATTCTTATAATGATCCAAAATCAAGGAAGTAAATATTACCATATATGGTAACTAGAATTCTCATGAAAAAATTAAGAATAGTTAGGTCTGTATTCAGTATAAAATCACAGAAAGCTAACATTGATATAACAGGAATTGTGGAACAAATTATAATGTGTAGAAGGGAGTATCTTCATTTTTTGTGATTTATTTATTTTTAAGACAGGCTTGGGGCCAGGTAGATGGCTCAGTGGAATAAGCACTTGCCTGGCAAGCGCAAGGGCCTGAGTTCAATCTCTGGTTCCACCAAAAATAAATAAATAAATAAATAAATAAATAAAATATCTCTATTATAAAGAAAAAAAAAAAAAAAGACAGGCTTTCCCTGTGTAGTTCACATACATTTAAAGGGGATTATACAAATATAAATTATGAGAGGGAGGGAGGCCAGGAGCTCACTATGTAGCCTAAGCTAGCCTTACAAATTGAGGCAATCGTCCTGCCTCTGCCTACGAGTACTGGGATTGTAGACATGTACCACCATGCCTTGTGGGAATCTTTATTTATTTAAATCATTTATTTATTTATTTATTTGGTACAGGGTCTCACTATGCAGCTCAGACTCATAGTGATCCTCCTGTCTCAGCCTCCCCAGTGCTGGAACTACAACCATGTCTGGTTTCAGTAACCAGTACAGAGTGCCCCAGGGTTCTAGGGCTGGCACAGCATATGGTACTGGGGATCAAGCCCAGGTCCTTGTACTTGCCAGGCAGGCGCTCTGACCACAGAGCTAACTCCCCAGATCAGAATCTTTATTTTTAAAAAAGAAGATATTACATATGGCAATGTTTAAAAGTTATATACCACCTTTTTCTGAATAGGATTTAGGATGACTAGATGTCAATTTCTTGATTTGGTAGTGGTCTAAATCATGAGGATTTTTTTTTTTTAAATTTTAAGTTTTAGGGGGGCCTGCTGGTTAGCTCAGTTGTTTTAAGCGCCTGTTCATGCAAACAGTCAGGCTCAGGATATCACAGTTCGATCCCCAGCTCCACATTCCTTACCAGACCTGCCCGTAAGGAAGCCTGAGCCAGCCATAAAAAATACTTCTCAACTTCTTAGGATAGATATACAACTACTTTTTTTTTGCGGAACTGGGGATTGAACTCAGACCCTTGCACTTGCTAGGGAAGCACTTATTCCACTGAGCCATCTCCACAGCCCCTATAGCTACTTTCTATTAGTTCAATGAGGAGAAAGATTTGTACTAATAGTGTTTAGACAAGATATCACGTCTACATCTTATACTATGAATAAGTACTACAAAGACAACAATATGCAATGTATTATTATAACTGTCCTACTAACTTGTTTTGAAACTGTCTCATTGTTATTTCTTTCTCAATAAAATTAAAGAAAAATAATCATCTTAATTTTTAAGTTTTCAGTACAGGGTCTCACTACACAGCTCAGATTCATAGTGACCTTCCTATTTTCAGCCTCCCCAGTGCTGCGACCACAGG